ATAAATATTTTATATTACTAATAACAAAAATACCCCGCGCATCGCGCGGGTCTCTCCTAGTTTCTTAAAAGCCTGTGATTTGGATTTTTGTACAAACTCTGCCCTTTCAGCTGATATTCTTTCTTTTTGTTAAAAATCAGAAATGAATCTGTCTTTTTCCCAAGATTCAAAAACAGGGTTTCCCTTTTTTTAATCTTTTTGCGAAAGCAAAGCATCAAGGGGTAAAAAAGGGGTGTGCTTTACTTGATCCAATACATCTTTATGATCCAAAACCAGAGCTTGCATGCAAAGCAACATTGCAAACCCAAAGGCAAAACCTTTTCTTCCTTCTCCTTCAAAACACAACCCTCAAGGCAAAACCCAGTTCCAGAACTGACCCAAAAAAACCCCCTCAAGTCTCCCCAATTCATATTTCTTAGGACATAATGGACAGCTTGATCAAGCAAACGAGGTAACCTCCTAGTATTTCTTTCACGTTCCCAATCAAGTACATGCATACATCAACGTAAATCATACGATCAACTGTTCAAAGTCTTGAATTTTTTTTTTTTTGGCTCAGGAAGAAATCCACAGGTCCACATGAGAAAACAGGGGAGGTAAGTGGCACAAGTAGAGAGAAGAAAATCCCTCCGAGGAAGTCTGTTTCATTCAAAGAAGGTGCAAACTGCAAAGAACAGAGCTTTCTTTACTTCGTGTTCCTTCCTTGCCCAGGACTCACCGAATTCTCGGTATTTGCAGATAAGAAGTCCCCGAACTGGTTCCAGAGGCAGTTTTCGAGGCAGATGAGCAATGCCGGCGACCATTATGATCCGGTCAGCGATCTGGACCATGCAGCTGCAGTTGCAGCCACAGCCTATGCAATAACCTGCCTTGAAGAAACTTGGACGCAGACTCGTGTAAGAATTTCAGACAGAGACTTCTTTACCGGCGAAAGAGGCATTTAACGTTTTGTCTGATTTCCAAACTTTCTGGTGGAACAGGGTGGGTATGAACTCGAAACGGCCTTGAGAAGACCCAGAAGCAGTAGAGAAGATATACTGCCATTGCAAGAACCCAGGAGCTCGTCAAGAAGATTGTCAGGTGATTTTACAGAAGAAACCATCGCTTTTATTCTTTGAGCAGATTCGGATCTCCCCAACTGAAGTGCATGGTACGACAGGGCAATTCTCGTTTAGAGAATCTGAGAGGAGAGATGGAAAACCGCCGGAGCCCAAGTCTCCGGCGAGAAAAACGCGGGAGAAGTCGCCGTCGATGAGAAAGTCCCGGACTTTCGCCGTAACCTTGGGAGGCTCTGGTGCCAAACAGACAGGAGATTCAGCAGACAAAATCAAGAGACCGGTTTCTCCGTTTGCAGAACCGGATATAAAACCACCGCCGACAAGAACACGATCAGACCGTGGCGTTCCTCCGCCGCCGCCGCCGAGGGAGATCGGAAAACAGAGTCCTTCACGATCCGTACGATCAGATGATTCCGCAGCTGATGCATGGGAAAAAGCAGAACTCGCTAAGATCAAAGAAAGGTTATATATACACACGCACCATACTTGAATCGAATACTAAATTCGATGTAAAAGAGACTAACATATGAATGTAAACCCTACAAGGTACGAGAAGCTAAGCAGAAAGATCGATTCATGGGAAGCCAAAAAGCGAGATAAAGCGCGAAGAAAGCTGGAGAAAACAGAGGTTATATAACTTATTCGATTCTTAAACCCATTTCGTTTCGTTTGCATATACGATTCTAAATCTCGAAATCACGATGATCATTGTCTGGATGAAGCAGAGGGAACTGGATCAGAAGAGGAGGAGAGCGTTGGAGAGATTCAGAGAAGACACCGAATACATCGATCAGATCGCAAGCGGAGCCAGAGCTCAGGCGGAGAAACAGAGGAAGAGCGAAGAGAAGAAGGTGAAGGAGAAGGCTGACGTCATCCGAAGAACAGGGGAGCTTCCCGCCAAACCATGTCTCTGTTTCTAAACACAACACAGAACACGTCATCTGTATATATACACACATCAAAATACTGTATATGTCTATCCAGTTCATGTATCGGTGTAATGTATATCTTGAAAACTGTTAACTACCATTAAAAAAAACAAAGATTCGTTTGCAGGTAGAACATGAACAGGGTGATTCGAAGGGGTGACCTGAGAACACAAACCCCATAGAGCCAATAAATTAGGGTTTGTGTTCTCATATCACTCCTTCAACATCTAACCGTCTGTTCTTTTCTTCACGTAGAATTAAATACAATACAACCATGGAAAAAAATAAAAATTTTAAAAAATATTGGGTATTGCTATATTGGCGAGGGTGAGAGAGATATCAGTAGTTCATGTATTTATACATAAATAGTTTTTTTTTTGTCTTGGTGTTAACATAATCTAGCCATGATGTTGTCATCTTGTCGACATCTTGATATATTTAACTATTTTTTTTCAGAAATAAAAGTTATTTAATATCTTTATTAGAAAATAAAATGCACTTCGTGTTAGAGAAATTAGAATCGACTTGGAAGCTTCTCTGAAACGTAAACCTAAGACTGCCATTCCAGTTGTCGATTTACTATAAATATAATTATGATGTCTATAACCGAGAATATATATATATATATATATATATTTCAAATGATTTTAAAATCAAAATATTCATCATTGTAAAAGGTATTAGTACAACTGGGATATTCGTCTAATAATAATTTCAATCGTAGGTGTAATAACAAAGAAGCAATCGAAGTTCATGAACTCCTGATGAAAAGCTGGAAGTCTGTAATTGCGATGAAGCAGATTGGCCCCACATAATGGGCCTATCAGGCTATTTCTAATGGGCCTACATTGTCTAAATGGATAAATTTTCAGGTCAAGTTAAAGGGGCCAGGCCCATTTCGTTTTTTGTCCTTATTCTGCCGACAGATATTGTAATGATATTCCACGTGGCATCCACCATTCAGAACACGCCGACGATCATTAATTGAATAGCTTCGGAGATATTTATGCGATCAATCGTCCACCACAGAAAAAAGTTGTGATCGACGTGAAAACGACACATTGGCCGCATTACACGTAGGACCATTATTATTAAAAATATGTTGAAAGAGAGACCATGTATTAATAAAAAAAAACTAGTTTTTGAACTCTAATTTAAGAAAATTCGGAAAAAAATCGTGATGGTAAAAAATATTTGTGGTTAAATCTTTGCGTCAAAGCCCTCGTTATATGGGAATACAATACACAAATTAACCTACGGTGCAAAAGCTTTAAAATGGTGCTATTTATACCAGTGGATATAATTATTTCCATGTAATTTTAATATTTTTATGGGGATAAAATTTTCAAATTTATAATGCTAATATCAAATTTGCTCTTATTTTTGTTGGTCAATAGTTATTTGAACTTGTAAATAACAAAGTATTATATCATTAACTAAATTCATAAGATACAAACACAATTTTTTTTTGGCAAGATATAAAACAATTTTTAAAATTAAAAAAATAATACATATTAATCTCCTCCAAAACCGCTCACACCAATGGATATATTCCATCTTCCCTTCTATATTATAAATATACACTCATCTCCTCCTGTTCATCATCTCTCCATAAGACTAAAGAAAACAAACAAACCAAGAAACATGGATTTCCTCTCCGACCAGGTCAAGAAATTATCCGACCACAAACCGGAGGAGACAGACCCGAACAAACCGGCCAAACCGGAGGACGTACCAAACCACAAACCGGCTTCATCGGCCGACCTAGCCAGCAGCGTCAAGGGCAAGGTCGCCGGAGCCGC